AAAACCTGCACCAATGAAATGTTTCATGCTAAAAATATTTGTGACCCCCCCTCTCAAAAATGGTAAAAATTTGTTCTCAAATTTAAACAAATTTTTATGAAACATTTTGCAAATTGTAATATATTTTTCTATAATTTTTTCGTTAATTTCAAACCAAATGGGTGTAATTTTCCCTTCAATAACAGATCTTGGTCAACAATGTTAAAAAAACAAACTGTATGGGCAGGCTTATTTTAATACATATGTAGTGCCACAATTTGACTTTGACATTCAGAGGATTAAAGGTCAAAAGGTCAGGTGTTGAAAAAAAAAAAAGTTTCTGACACCCCCATTCCTACCCCACCCCCACCCCCAGATTTTGCAGCTTTAACCAATTCATCTATAGAGGGCGCTGTCGCAAAATAAATAGGAACAAATATCAACCCTCCACTTTTTTTGGTGATGTTCATGTGATTAGAAACCTTAATTTTTTTGTGTGTGGCCTTAGTGTAATGTTGCAGTACATTCACCTTCAACGAAAATGGCTGCCCGCTTCTCAGAAACTCACAATTTACTACTGATTAATCGATTGTTGCTGCTAAATAAACCATGACTAATTCTTGATGTATAGCATCAAATATTTGTTTTAAAAAGTCTATAAATACATTTCAGTATGTGCTGTTAACCGATTTGAGAATTTTATGGCATTTGTGAAGAAAATATCTCAAGAAAGTCGCTGACATATCATGTCGTAAAACCCGAGGGAAACATTCAGTGCTACAAAATTTTACTATTTTCAATGAAGAAAAAAATATTCCATTAAATTTTTTTTACGTAGGCATATCCAGATATCCTACTGGAATATATATCATTCGCAAATGTTCAAAAAACTGGCACACTTATACAAAATGGTGTTCATTAATTTTACCAATCATTGTTTTTCAGTCTGTAAAATCTTAAACCAATGGGACAAGCTTCGGGGATGTACAATTGTACCTGTGCATTACTGGAGCTGTTTGGACTGACAGGTCGCTTGTTAATAATACTGGGGCAGTGTTGAAAGCAGTGCATGGAAAATAACTCATAAAAACACATGAACTTGGTTTTGAGCTATCAGGATCTCTTAATTATTAATTAATCCTTAAAAAATCCTGTGGCGACATCTACATGCCTTGGGCCGACTTTTTTTCCAGGGGACCAGTACATGCAAATATATTGAAATGTGATTCCTTGTCAATGTTGAAGGTTTGACCACAAAATTTGTTGAGGTTTTGCTAGGAATGAGTGGAGTTTGTATTTCAGTATATGTCTCACTTCATTCAATAAGGGATGAACCGTGTGAAAAATAGGGGAAGTACTAGAGGCATTTTTTTTGGTTTATTACTTCAATATACAATATGTAGAATGTAGTTGCTATTGTGTTTGGTAATAATTTACATGAAACGCAATCATGACTGTATGATTTAGGTTAAATCCCATTCTTTTTTGTCACCCTCCCAAAATCTGAATGTCTCATCCCTTACTTTCTCTTCTTAGGGTGACTCATTGGATTAGTAACGAGACATTATGTTAATCATTTCATTTTTGTTGGTTTTAAGTTTTGAAATTTTTACAATTTGAGTATATTTGTGTGAAAGTCACTATAAATACCGGTTTTGAATGGAAGTTGTTAAACAATAACTTAGACTCACAGGCCTATTTGATTTTATACAGTGTAGGCACATATTAACACACGGGGGCCAGGCGGCCATTGCCTTTTAACCATTTGAATGTCAACTATTGTCACGCTTCACAAAATTGAATTAATCAATATTTTAACTTTTCACAAAACCCAATTTCAAACTTAACTGGCCCTTTGACTTATTTGTAACTTGGGTTTCCCAGCTTTGTTGATGGCATTTTATGTGAGACAACCTCAATCCAAGAAATTTTGAGTGTTAGTGACTTTTGCGAATTTTGAATTCACAAATGCTATAAAATCGTCCAATTGTAAAAATCCTTTACGATACAGTACTGTAAAATACTTTATTTTCGCTTGTAATTAATTTTCGCTGTTTTTGCTGAAGGAATGATTCAGTGAAAATAAAATCCAGCGAATATACCTTTTTTTCTATATTTTACATTAAACTCATCAAAAATAATTGAAAATAAATTCCATACAAAACACCCAAAAAGTCTTTTCAGCAAAAATTAATTCCAGCAAAAATAAAGTACTTCACAGTATATCTTTAAAAAGGACTTACACATTTTATACTTGTTCTTTGAGATTTAGCAGTGCTTGTATCCTAACCTTGGCATTATCCCTCAAAGGGAATGAAATGAAGGTTTTTATTACCTCTAATACCTCTTGACAGTGGTACATGTTATTAATGTTGTAATCCTCAGTGTTAGAAGCTGAGTCTCTAACAGCAAAGAGGTGACTGTTACAATAGCTAATGGAAAGTGACAGTGTGGACAGGAAGACAGGCAAAAAAAAAAAATGCCATGATTCAGACCACAAAGAATAAAATTTATGTTTCTCTGCATTTCAAGTGGATTTTTTTTTTTCATTTTTCAAACTTTTCTTATGATAATTTGTTTTAATCTGATGAGTTTATGTCTATTTGCTCCCTCCCCCCCCAAAAAAAAAACTATAGAAAAATTGCATCAAAATGTGCAAAATTTCAACCTAATATTTTAGCAGGAAAAATTAAGGCTAACTAAAGTGTTTACATTTACATATGATCAAAGTCAATAGAATCACTGTTGTTTTGTCAATAACTGTTGGGGAATGATCGATAGTTTTGTGCGTGGAAGTGAAAAACTATTAAAACTCAAATTATTGTGGAATTGCTAAACTATTTTGTAACAGACAATGTAACATTCTAAAATGCCATTAAAGTAAAGCAATTATGGTTCAAATAGTCTACAAAACATTAAAGACGAAAAAGGAATGTCAAATTATAATAGTAAGCAACTCCTTCATGTGCTGAATACCATATGCTTTTTTTGAATTTATTTTTAAAAACACGAATTTTGGCAGAAAGTATTTTATTTATTTTCCTTGCAAAAAATCCAAGACTCATCTTTAAAATTATGTGTCTTAATCAGTATGAATAACGTTGAAAACATGAATATATTGCTGATTTATGGTAACAGATTGTGATGTCACTGCTTATGTTGGTGATGTCACTGCTGATCTTGGTGATGTCACTGCTCATGCTGATGATGTCGCTGCTCAAGTTGGTGATGTTACTGCTGATGTTGGTGATGTCACTGCTGATGTTGGTGATGTCACTGCTGATGTTGGTGATGTCACTGCTGATGTTGGTGATGTCACTGCTCATGTTGGTGATGTCACTGCTCATGTTGGTGATGTCACTGCTCAAGTTGGTGATGTCACTGCTCAAGTTGGTGATGTCACTGCTGATGGTGGTGTCACTGCTCATGATGTTGCTGCTCAAATTGGTGATGTCACTGCTCATGATGTTGCTGCTCAAATTGGTGATGTCACTGCTGATGTTGGTGATGCCACTGCTGATTTTGGTGATGTCACTGCTGATTTTGGTGATGTCACTGCTGATTTTGGTGATATCGCTGCTGATTTTGGTGATATCACTGCTGATTTTGGTGATGTCACTGCTGATTTTGGTGATGTCACTGCTGATTTCGGTGATATCGCTGCTGATTTTGGTGATATCACTGCTGATTTTGGTGATATCACTGCTGATTTTGATGATGTCACTGCTGATTTTGGTGATATCATTGCTGATTTTGGTGATGTCACTGCCGATGTTGATGATGTCGCTGTCGAT